TGAATAGACAATTCAAAAGAGCAACATTTGTTATGTATTTATTTAAATGTTGGTGGTGCTTTAATTAGGGACTTTACCACTTTTTGTTTTTGAACAATCTACGCTTCAAGCTAAAATTATCTACATTTTAAAAATGTTTCAGGGCTTCCAGTTAAGATTAGTTGCCAGATTAGTTGACATGTCCTTCAGGCAGCCCACCAATATTTATAGTTTTGCACATCGCTAAATCGTTACTTATGGCTTTTTTTAAAACCATGAAAAAGAATGGAAATGTATTTCCTGAGCTCACAGCAATGAAAAACTGTGTGCGCTCTGTTGAGCTCTATTCGGTCAGATGGCAGTCTGCAGGTGAGGCTGTGTCTGGCAGATGAGTCCGGGGGGCAGATGGTCAAGGGTCCCGGGGGGAGAGGGGGAGGCTATGCGCGGGTCAGGTCCCTGCAGACGTCTGAATCGGTGTAGGTGTGCTGGACGGAGCCGGCTCAGGTGTTGCATGCACACAGAGAGACGAATTGAGTCATGATGCAGAACAGACCTTGGGAAACGGTGTGTGTGTGGGTGTGATTCATTCTATTTGAAGCTGGACTTGTTCTCTCTTTACAAACGCAATGGTCAGTGGGTGGTATCTTTTTTCACATGCAGGGAGGAACAGGAAATTATCCGGTGCATGTGTGTTTATATTGTGTGTATTTCTGGGGGGATTTTGCATATGTCTGCCCCATATACAGTGACCCTGAAAGAGAAAGTATTCTTGTTCTATCTATTTGCAAGCAGTTAATGATCAGTGAGTTTGGAGCGGAGGCACACGGCTCCCCAGGAGGCCATGTGTTCACTGGCTGCCTCTACAACGAAGAACGCGGCTCAGGAGCCTCATCAGGCTTCACATGAAACAAATAGGGTACGAAAATATCTACTAAACTCTGTGTGCGCTGTAATCTGCCGGTCTTTGCTCCCTGTGTGGCCTAGTTAGAGCACTTCAGCGTACCCAATGAGACGTGTGTGTATTTGCATCTCACATGCATTAATGATAATTAAGGCTATATTCTTATATTACATTAAAGGCTTGTTTTTAGATCAGGCCTTTAAAGGCGGAGGTGGATCTGCACCTTTTTGGTTTTGTTTATACAAAGTATTTTAGGATGAGTTGAAAAGGGAAGCGGTTGGAAATTACTGAGGAAAACCAGCTTTGAATATACTGAATGTGTAGAATCTGTTCTAGTTCAAAGCAAACAATAGTGCTAATATGAGTACCAGTCATAGCTGGTATGGGTAGCAGTTCAAGTTGGTATTAGCACGAGAGCTGTATTACACACTGCATGAAAGGTAATTTTCAAAAATCCATAATAGGGGCACTTTAACTCTAAAGTCAGTTTTAGTGCTAGTCTTGGATTAATTTTTTTTTAAAGAAACACCAAAACCGAAATTAAAGTTTGTATTTACCAAAGAACTGAAAATGTATTTTATTTAGTAATCAGTGAATTACTCAGATGTATTTAATAATCAACAGTTGTATATTAACATTTAAATTGGACATAATTCACACAATGACACAATTTCTGCTCCAGTTCATTGTTAAAATATAAACATTTAAACAGTGGCTGTAATAAAAATTGTTTTCATGACAGATTTATGTAAACATACATTAAATAATGAAGGCAAGTTAAATATGTAAAAATATAATGAATATATAATATAATGCATATTTTTTTTAAAGCTTCTCTCTAGAGAGTTTTTTATTATAGCTGGCTAATAAACTATGTGATCATTGAATGACTTCTCTGAGGTAAATGTAACATTATGTGGCATCGCTTACAAGCTGTACTATTGATGTCTTTCCACAGTTGATATAACACATCTCAGTAAGTTGTTTCATTCAACATATTTGGAATATTTTTGGCTGCTGAAATTTCTGTGCATCACAAAGTGATAGTTAATAGTCAGTACTACTATTAAAGTCAGAAATAGTATTAGAATACGCACTAGTGCAGATAGCCCTAGTATAAGTAGTAGTTTACATTCAGAGCTTGCAAATCCAGTACTAGTATGAGTAGTAGTTCAAGTCAGTATTAGTATTAGTATACTGTATGTATACTTATTCAAAGTCAGTTCCAGGCTACTTTGGGTACTAGTTCCAAGTCAGTACTGGTATGATTATCAGTAGTGTGAATACTAGTTAAAAGTTAGTACTCGGGCTAGTAGGTGTACTACTACAAGGTTCTGCTTCTAGTGTTAGTATGAGTTCTAGTTCAAAGTCAGAACCAATAATGTGAGGACTAGTGCAAGTCAGGGCTAGTACTAGAATAAGCATAGGACTACTGCACAGCCAGAGTATGAGTACTAGTTTAAATTCAGAACTTGCAATGTGTAAATCCAGTAGTAATGTGTGTACTAGTTAGTGCTAGTATGAGAGGTAACATTCAGGACTGGTACTAGAAAATGTGATGTTTCAAAACCAGTTTTGTAGGCATACTAATTCAGGTCATTTATAGTGCTAAAGCGAGCACAAGTTAAAAGTCTAGACTAGTGATAAAATGACCACTAGGATTAGTGCAGAGCCAGACTAATGCTAGATCTTGCAAAGTCCAGTACTAGTTCAAAGACTTAGTGCTCGAATCAAAGATGAAAAAACTGTATAGTTTAAATACAATACTAGTTGTAGTATGAGTACTAGTTTAAAGTCTTAATATTAAAGCTAGAATGAGAACATATAATTGTTAAAGTCATTCTAGTATGCTTTCTAGCTCAGATCAGAACTATTATGAGCTAGTAAGCTCATTATCCGTATACAGTACTAGTATGAAACTGGTTTAAAGTTCATTTGAAGTCAGTACTAATAATAGTATGAGTAGTATAGTTCAAAGTTTTACCTTGTTACATGGATCTGGTACAATAGCAGCCAGGTGTTTTTCATTTGACATGTTTCACATGTTGGGCCAAAATGTCACACCTAGTGTTCAGGTGCTCTGTGTGCTCTCAGTAGATATTTCTCACAGATGTTAAAACTAGTCCACACACCCCAGTACTTCTTTCAACTAGATTCCAACTGGAGTGTGTAATCACAACCGTTACCTCAATATAGCCATTCCTCAGCATGAAGCATCGCAGCTCAGACACCCTGACCGACTGCACGCTAAATACCTCGCTGAAGCATTCCAGCTTCATTTAAGCTCATTGATTTTCTTTAGCGCTCTTTGTTTCTCTCTTCATGGCCCAGTTGTATTTGTGCTTTTGAATACTGTCCCTCGGAGGGAGGCTTGTTTATGTGATGTGGGATGGATTTGATTGTTTTAGGCCCCCTGGGGACTAGAGGACTTGGATGAGATCTGTAGAGCTGGCTCGGCCGTCCACAGCTTTTGCTCAGCATCGGTTTAAAGGCATAATCCTTCATTTCAGCCGCGCCACTTTACTTTGATAAATTTAGGGATGGAGCTTTGATAACGTTATCACACGCAATATTCATAAGGACTGCCATGAAAGACCTGCTGTGTTTCAGATCAAGAAAATGGTTGTAAACATATCTTAAGTGTCTGGTGACAGGAAATTTCGAAAAGGAAGCCGAGCCTTTGTGTGCAGAAAATTGCATGGACTGAGTAATCAAGGAACTGAGGCCTCACAGGGATGCTATATTAATGAAACTGAGGATTTTGTAGAATTTAAGGATAATCTAATCCTGGAAATGTATTCTGTGCACATCCATGTTCAGTTATGTTTCGTTTAAAGGAGTAGTTCAGATGTAGATGTAGAGCAGTTTTTTTAGCATTACATCACTTGCTCACCAATGGATCCTCTGGAGTGAATGGGTGCCGTCAGAATGAGAGTCCAAACAGCTGATAAAAACATCACAGTAATCCACATGACTTCAGCACATAAATGTATGTCTTGTGAAGTGAAAAGCTATATGTTTGTAAGAAAAAAAGAATCTATCATAAAAATGTTTTCACAAAAGAAAAAAAAAATTTCTGGCTAAAATATAAGGCGTTATATATATATATATATTTCTGTTTTTACTACTTTATGTTTTTGAAGAACCTGTTATCGCCTTTGGCCTTTTAGCGTGTTATGAAGCTTTAAAAAGTTATATAAATTATCAAATTTGTCACCACTGATTTTAGCATTGAAGACTATGTGACATTGCCTAGTATACCTAAACAAATATGAAACATGACTATTTCATTAAAAAAATTTAAATGCAATATTTAAAATGAGCCTTTTTGAAGAACCAGTTTTCATTTTTGCATTTAAGCGTGTTATGCAGGTTTAAATAGTTATGTAAATTTACCCTAAAATATCGTCTCATACTTTGTGGCATTATCAAGAATATCTAAAGAAAGCATATTTTAATTTTTTTTTCTGAAATTAAAATAAATAAATAAATAATTACTTTAAAATTTGAGAACGTTTTCCAATTTGAGTCTTTTTAAATAACCCATTATCGCCTTAGGCTTGAAAAGGTTATGCAAATGATCAAATTTGTCCTAAAAATATATTTTCTAAAATGTAGCCCTCATATGTATATTTTTTTTTATAATGATGCACACCACATGGTAACAGCACTTTTTGCAATTTGTGCATAAGTTGCACATGATTTGTTGTGATTCGATGTGCAAAGTGAGTTTATATTGATTTATTTACGGTTTCTCCATCAATACTGAATTGAACTGAAATTGATTTCATGTTTTTTTTTTGTAGCCCGGATAGTGAAAAGCAAGCAGTGGTGTGAGATGTCCCCATGTTCAGAGGGTGAGATCTGCGGACTGATCTTCAATCGCTCCGGATGGACCTGCACCAAAGGCGGCGGCCGCATTAAAACCGTCACGGTGAGACACGTTCTAAATATCTGTGACATTTCATTTATTCACTTAGGACGCAATGTTGCATCATTCACACCACCCGTGTTTCATCTCACGTTCTATTGACTTACATTAACCAACATTATTCATTATATAATGCTTAGCAGCTCATTAGTTAATGAGCATACATATATATATATATATATATATATATATATATATATATATATATATATATATATATATATATATATATATATATATATATA